GGGAAAAAGGGAAAACACTAAGAGAATGATTTCCTTCAAGATATTTGTTTCTTTTTCATGCTCTCCTTAAACTAGAATGGACAGAAAATAGCTCTTGAGCCTTTTAAGTAGGCCAGGTGCAGTACTTATGCCCAGACTCTGTTCCACGCTGTGGAAAGAATAGCAGTGGGAGTTGCTATCATACGCACACTTTCTCCAGGCTGCATGGAGGCTTTCTCCTTTCCTCCATGTCCATTTCTCAATATGATGGGGGGACACAGGGTGCTGATTTTCATCTTTTGCTCTTGAAATGCTCCCACTTGTTTCCTCTTCTCTCACTTTTTCAGGGTACATTGAATGTATCTTCAGGTTCTAGACCACATGAAGACTTGGCTGGATAGCTGCATAATATGGGAGACTGACTTCCTGGGTATTTGGGTATTAAACACTCTCTGACCTATGTAGGTGTGTGTGTGTGTGTGTGTGTGTATTAAAACTGCTTCTTGGGGGACCACAAGCCTGGAATTATTTTCTGCAGTGATGCAACTTGACAAGGAGTATGACTGGAACCCTTTTCACAAGTCCCAAGCACTTCACAGCCTCTTTGACATTAAATATGAGTTAAAACATCCTCACACTTAGAAGGAATTGATACCATATGTCACGCTTCTAGAATCTGTGTTTTTGCCATTAGCTTGTCCATGAAAAACAGCTTCCTCCTGAAGATGAAACACAAGTATTACACTTCTTATCAAGCAAATTAAAACATATAATTTTGTCATTAACATTCCTTTACCATTAACTTTTTCATGTGCAAAGGTACACACACAAATCTCCAGAGACGGAGGACCCAGGTTCAAGCTCACTAGAGCCAATTTAAACTCCATCTAAGGGAGGGCCTAAACATACTGGCCCAAACTGAGTGGTATTTGATCCTTTTTCTCTGCATTCAGCTGCAAATCAAACTCATGGAAACAGTTTCTGATCCTTTACAAAATCTATGGCTCATAGTACTTTCTTGCATTTTCCAGTTTTTCTGCATGAAATGCTACAGAGTGAGCATTACCTCTTCAATTGGCATTTAACTGGATACACTTTCTCACACATATTATTTGAAGGTCAGATTTAAATGGAAAAGGTAAATGTATATCAAAAAGACTGTAGTAAGTCAGAGTTTCCTTCCGACCCATTATATCATTAAATACATAATGTACGAGCTCTTACCGAGGCAAAGACTTCTTGGAGGCTTCTCTTTGTGTGGCTGATGGGAAGGATCTGTTACACTGGGTTCTGTGAGGATGACCTGATCACACTGTTTTAATAGTGCAAAATGAAGGATGTATTGCTTTCGTTGTCTTTTAATTAGGCATCTATAAAACAAGCTGGCCATTGCAAGGTGCTCTATAATCAGATTAACTAAGCACCAACCTTTTCCTAAATTAATACGTACAATTATACGACTTAGTTTCAGTTTGTTAATTGCTACTCCTTTGTTGTTGTTATTATTATTATTTAAGGAAAGGGCAGCGTGCCCCATTGCAATTTTGCATGCACGCCTGGGGAAAAAAAAATAGATGACATAAATCGCATGCATAATCTCAGGAGACAATCATTTTAAATCTTAATTGGCTGCCTTTTAAATATCATTTAAGGTCTCGTTTTTCCTGCCTCTCTCACTCTAGTTAAGAAGGTGTTGTGTCAAAGTCTATTACCTTGCTGGACGTCTCGCCTCTAAGTTTTTTTTTAAAAAAATAGAACCATCAGCAGAGGTTTGAGAGGTCGATAAAGCTTTTAGATTTGGAGATGTTTTCAGGGAGCCCATTTCCTGCGGCTAAGAGTTGTTAATGGAGCTTAAGGAATTATCTTATGACTCGGGCTGGGAGAGCCGTATATTTCTTCGCTCCTGTTCCCTTGTCGAGGCTGAATATGCTGCTGTCAAACTCGCTTAATGAAAAGTAACGCGTCGCTGATTACAGTTTTATTTGGGCTCTATGTAAAAAGCACTGTTAATTTAGCATCCCCTCCTTTGTGTGTTTGAATTTGCCATGGCTGAATGATTTAGAGTCTCTCAGTTTCAAGCCGTTTCTCTATGATTTTTTTTTTCTTTTCTCTCTCTCGCTCAGCCTGCCTTTTTATTCCTGCTTTGTACAACCGCATGAGCTGCGTGTATTTCCCTTTCAGCCCCGCAGCTTCGTCTAAAGCCCTGATCTTTGACTTGTGCTATTAAGTCAAAGGGCAAAATTAATTTCTCACACTCTTTTGTTGAGACTTCTAAAAGCTTTCTTGAAAGATCACTGCATTTGACGGTCGATCTATAGATAAGCTTCGTGTGCCGAAGTGAGAAACTGCCTTCCCTCCCCTGTCGTTCCCTCGGTCTCCTCTCACACAGGTAACGTTGTGGCGCGGGTGAGTGCGCGCAACCACGCACACACCCACCTATAGGATTCACCATAGGCGGCCGGTCCCGTTGGTCAGAGGGATCCGGACATGTGATGTAACAAGCGTAAACTTACTCAAACTTGCTCTGTAACGACAAAGATAAGGAAATGAAGATATAAAGGTCTGGTTCGACTCCCTCACTCTGCTTCAGATATTTCCGCGTGCCTGTGTGTTGCCTACGGTTTCATCACCTTCATTTTAAGGGATGGCTGCCCCTCAGACCACGGCCTGACCAAACCGCTCCTCTGACCACGCCGACGTCGCTCCGCAGCGATTTACAACGGCGGACGACCCGGCCGCCAGCGGCCCGGCGCGCAGCCCGGCAGCTCTTTGGGTCTTGCTGAAACCCACCGGGAAAGCTAGTGCCACCCCGTCCGGCGTTTGCATGCACGCAAACCTCCCTGCTTTTCACGGCTGTAACATCCCATCCTCTCGCTTCCCCCCACCCTCGCGGCAGACAGCCTTTCCCCCCCGTCCCGCCGGCCGCCACCAATGGCTCGAGGACAGCCTGACCGCTCGCCTTTCCTCCTTTCCCTCTTCATCCCCACCTCTTTAGTTGGGCTGAAAATAATTTGCTTTGTCTAAAGGGTTTCAGAGGCAAAGCTCGCCGGCCGCCCCGGCTGCATTAAAATTCCTGCCGGCCCAGCCTTGAGCTGAGATCGCGGCTCCCCGGAGACTCCACTTTCGCTATTACTGTCAAGTACCCTTGACTCTTTATTTTTGCCCTTTTATCTATTACAACTAATTCGAGTTCTTTTGCCCTTTTCAGTTTAAGACGTGGCTTTCTGTAAAGCCTCCCCCTGCCACCGAGCTCTCCGGGTGCAGAGCCTTTAGAAATTGAGGGGTTTACTGTCAAAATGAAAATTTCACTTCAAATTATCTTGGCTGATGCACGTTTTCCAGGCCGGGGGCTCCTGTCTGAGCCTTTTGACAGCCAGATCAGCAGAGGGGTTCAGTGATCTCGATAATATCATCCAAGAGAGCGAAAGTCAATACAATGACAGGGAATATGACTGGATACAATCCAATTACGGCTGCTCGCGAAGAGGGGAAGGGCTTGATCTGATCTCCGCACCCGGATTCCTTTATTCAGTCCTTGCACTAACAGGTCTCGCTAGAAACTTTGCGGGCTGGAGGATGTTCTATTTCGGCTGACTGCCACCTCGGCCGCATTTATCGTCGCCTTTAATATACACGTGTATATCCCCCGGCTGCATTCTCATTTAGCTATTTATTTCGGGCGGGAGGGGGTGGGCCAGGACAGAAGCTCTTCAGCTTGTTCGGTGTCACCTCGGTCCTTCGGGCTCATTCACTTTCCCCCCGTCGAGCCGAGCGCGGCAGCCCGGGGGTCTGGGCCCCTGTGCGGGAAATTCGGTGTCTGTGACCGGCTGGTAGTTTCTTTTCCGGCATTTCTCCCTCACTCCCGGCACGAAGATTGGGAAAAGTTTGCTCCAAATTCGGGGAAGAGTAAGGGAAATCTTTTAAACGGCTGTTATCTAAATGGTAAATTGGCTGCGAGTGCTCCTGAATCACACGTCGAGAGCGCTTTCTCTCTCTCCCTCTTTTTGTTGGCTGCACTCTATTTAATGTCAAAACGGTAAAGCATCTGTCCTGAAGTGCTGAAATATTCATGGAGGATCAGCGATTCTCCATACTGCCAGAAGAGCTGGAAAGCTAAAACGGTTGTTTAAAAGATCAAATTTTCCACGTGAATCAATCGCTCCGTGCACCGTGGAGGAGGAGGAGGCGCCGCGGCAGAGCCGGGCCGTTTCGGGGGAACCTCTCCCCGCAGCTGGAGCGGCCGATGGGCTCGGGCTGAGGCGCCCCGGCAGGCAGACCCGCGACACCGGCCGCCCAGGCGGCTCCTCTCGCCCCTTCGGCGGCGCGGGCGACGTTTTCCCGCACCTGAGCCCGAGTGAACAACCCGGCCCGCCCCTCCTGGGCAGCGGAGAAGGGGCTCCGTCGTCTGGCGCCGAGGGCAGCGACCTGCCAGTCCTCTGAGCGAGCGGGGAGTTTGGAAACCTGAAACGCGTTTACACGATGCAAAACGCCACCACGCGTGGTACCTCTGAAACAGACAATTTATTGGAGTGAACATACCCTTTAACATATTTTTTTTTTCTTTTGTCAAGATAAATTTGTGCAGTAAGTGTAAACTTAGTGGAAGTGCTGTTTGTGAATTATATGCTAACAAGGAAATCAGGAGGAAAAACTCTCGAAAAGTCTTTATAACTAATGTCGGCATGCCTTAAATTAAATCTGAATTAAAATTTCTCGTCTGTAAACTTTCGGATGTAAACTTTGTTAAGTAGGTCTACGCTATAGTACGTGCTTTGGGATATGGAATTAAATAACTCTCACGACACTGATCCCTTTAAAGTCGCAGCCAGGAGAACTTAATTCTTCAGAACAGCAGTGTCTGTCTGTTGAGCTGAGAGAACTGAACGTTAAATCCTCGTTTTGGTTGTTTAAAAAAAAAATAATGATAAAGGAAAAAGTTTTATATTTCAACTCTCGCGAGTTTCTTTTCAGTGTACATGACTCTTCCAGCGCAGGGAAGTTCTTTGCCCCTCGGGGGGCCGTTAGGAGCAAAACATTTTACTCCCTGCTTTGGGAAAGGCGAGAAACTCCTTGCTCGAGTCCTGGTGGGCCAGGTTGGCCAGCTGCCCCTTGAGCACGTTGGCACCATTGCCCACCGAGCGTCCCAAGGCGCCCGTTTCCAGAATAGCTCCTTTGGTGGTGGCCCAGGACACCGTGGTGTTGCTCAAGGCTTGGTTCAAAGTACTGTGCCTGAAGAGCGGGTCGTGAAACACCCCGTCCACCCAGTTCCTGAGGTTGGTGACCGGCGAATCCTGGTGCCGGTCCATGACGTTGACCGGGGCGGAGACGGCGGTGGCGGCGGCCGATCCCCCCGACCGCTTCAGCATGCAGGAGGGGTATTCGGACTGGTTGAGGGAGGTGGCGGTGTGCGCCAGGGACCAGATGCGGGGCTTGGCCTCCAGCAGCGGCTGGCCCTGCGGGAAGCACAGCTTGGCCTCGCAGCCGCGCGGCCGAGCTCCGAGCAGGGCCGCCTCGCACTCCTCCGCCGCCGGTTTCAGGCAGCCGCGGGCCCGCTCCGCCGACTCCTCCTCCTCCTCATCGGCGGCGGCGGCGGGGGGCTCGGCGGCGCGGGGCGGGGGGCCGCCGCCCGGCAGCCGCTGCGGATGAGGATGCGGGTGCGGGTGCGGGAAGGGCCGCCTCATCTCGCACTCGGAGCTCTCCGACTCGGCGGCGTCCAAATCCTCCAGGTCGCTGAGCTCCAGCTCCTTCTCCTCCTTGCCCGTGGGCTCTGCGGGTGGGGGCGGGGGAGGGGACGGCAAAAACAAGACACGCGGTCACGGGCGGCCCCGCTGCCCCCAGGAGCCCCGATAGCGAGGCCCGAGGCCGCGGGGGCGCGGCCCCCCAGGGGAAAGCCGGCGGCCGAGCCCCCGCGGCCGAGCCGCTAAGTGCCCGCTCCTAGCAGGGTACCCTCGGCCTTCTCGCTTTTCATGGCGTCTTCCTGCGAGCATTCCTCCTCCTCCTCCTCCTCTTCTTCGTAGGGCCGTTTCTCGTCCGAGCACTTGTTCCGAGGCGGCCACGTCATCTTGTTCTCCTTCTTGAGGCGGCGGCGGGCGTTGGCGAACCAGGTGGAGACCTGGGTGAGGGTCATCTTGGTGATGATGGCCAGCATGATCTTCTCGCCCTTGGTGGGGTAGGGGTTCTTGCGGTGCTCCTGCAGCCAGGCCTTCAGCGTGCTGGTGGTCTCCCTGGTGGCGTTCTTCCGCCTCGTGCCGCCGTCCATCGCCCCGTACCTGCGAGCACAGCATTACGTTGGATCCCCGGCCCGGCCGATGGGGCGGGCGACGAGTGAGCACCCGGCGTGCACGGCTCCGTCCCAGCGGCCGAGAAAAGGCGAGGATGGAGCCGGCTCAGTGCCTGCGGAGCTTATGGGGGAGGTGGGGGCAACGCCCGCATTTAATGGCCGTGAAGTCAGCACACGTCTGGGTGACCCCAGGGTACAACTTGGAATAGAAATCTATTTATTTCTCTTTACCCCTTTTATTAACACCCTCCCCCCCCCCCCCCCCCCCCATCACCACCTTTTTGTTCCCGACACTGTAAAAACCCTGACGCGGGTGACATCACAGCTCAATATTTAATGCACACCCTCCAGGAAAGGTCACCGCCGCCCGATGGACCCTGAGGACCACGGCGATTGAAGTGTTGGGACGGACAGACGGCCGCCGACGCTCGGCAAAGAGGTCACCGAGGGCCCGCGGCGGGGGGGGGCCGCTTACCTGTCGTACTGGTACTGGCTGAGGCTGTGCTCGTAGGGGTAGTAAGCAGCCGCCGGGGAGATGCCCGCATGCGCAGAGCCGCCGCCGTCCTTCGTCTCCAAAGTGTTCTACAAGAGACACCCCGCCGCTCTCAGCCCCCCGCTCTCGGGCAGGACCGAGGAGGGAGCGGCGGCCGTGCGCTGCCTGCCCCCCGCCCCGCTTACCAGCGAATAGAAGGCGGGCGCCTCGGTGCCGTAGGTCACGTAGTTCCCGTAGCCCTGGGGTCCGCCGTAGGGGCTGCCGTAGACCCCCAGAGCGGCGGCGGAGTTGAGCTCGTGGCGGGCAGTGGCGAGCAGGCGACTCTCGTACACGGGACAATAGACCGGCGTCTGTGCTGGGGCGGCCGGGCCCGACTCGGGCAGCGTGCGGCCGCCGGACTCGCAGCAAGGCGTCAGGGAGTTGGTGCTCATCAGGAACTGCGGGAACAGCGGGGTCGAGGGGTGTCAGCGCCCGGTGTCCGGCTTTAGGGTATAAGGTATAAGCTTTGGGATGTAAGCTTTGGGGTTACGAGGTCTCAGCGTTGGGGTGTTCCCCCTCCCCTCCCCTCCATTCCAACCCTTTTCCCCACCGTTTTTCCTCGAGAACGTTCTGCGAGCCTAAGTTTAACATGTCGATATAGAGTGATACATCATCCACAAACCGTAAACAAACGCCCCGTGACTGTGCGCATGGAATCTCCGTAACGCACCGCTCCTTCAACCCAACTTTGTGGTGCCGGCTTTACACCGCTTTCTCCTCCTGCAGCGTGATGTTGCCCATCTGCGTTATTCCAGCTCCCCCCTCAACAGATTACTCATGCATATTTATTTAGACTGCAGATTTGCAGCGGCCACGCACGCATCTGTCATTAACCTGCTGGGTTCGGGTATCCCATTATGTTCCCTCACCTCGGCCCTTGCTACGTTCGCGTTTAATTGGTAAATTCCCTCGGGAATGGAAAAAGCGCTCCGGTGGGAGAGCGGGTGGGGGTCTCTCCCTCTCCCTTCTCCCCGCCCTCTGCTCTGTATTTCTGCCCCAGGCATCGCCATCACCCCAAAGCACCCAAACCCAGTTTTAACGCCAGATATAAGTTGAGGGGTCTGGCAGGCGCTGGGAGCAAAGCGCTCCCAATGAAACCGAGAGTTTCACGCCCCCCCCGTGTTAGGGAGGGATCGCTGCAGCTTCTGGCCCCGAGCGGAAGCGATCGATAATGAGCAGGGCTCAATGAAGCGCTGGGAGGCAGCAGCCTTACCTGGGGCGCGGAGGAGTAGGGGTAGCCGAACTGCGGGTAGGACATGGTCCAGAGGCTCCCGGTGATCTAGAAACAAGGCGAGACGTCTGATCTGCACGCTAGGGCAGCCGTGCTCTGCTCTATTGTACTGATTGATTGGGAACCGCAGCTCCCTAGATGCTTAGAGGACGAAGCAGAAAACCATAGTTTATTTATTTACATGAAAATGTAAACTTTTTCTTTTCTTTTTACCGAAGTGAGGAAAAAAAGAAAAAGAAGGAAAGAAGGAAAGAAAATAGGATGTGTCAAAAGCGTAGTATGTTCCCCTCCGCATCTACGTGGGGGCTCTGAGGCTGGCAAACGGCAGGGATGCACATTTTGCATGCAGGGGAAAAGAAAAGGGGGCAATGGGGGAAGAGCAGAGCAAACACACCGCGTCAGCAGCGCGCTGCTGGGAAGGAGCCGAGCCTCTGACGTCATGTAAACCCCATTCACATCAACGGGCCCCAAAATCTTCGGACAGAACCACCCGCACCTGTCAGCCCAGAGGGGGCCGAAGTTAGAGCAGCTCGGTTGTCGGTGGAGGGGGTGAGGGCAATGCGTTTAATCAGAAGGATAAATGTTGTATCAGTAAGGTTGGCCCCCACCCTCCTTCGTCACCAAAGAGCTGGGATGCACTTTTAATTAGAAATTAATTAATGAGCAGCTGCTTCTTCCCACCCCACAGTAATAATTAGTCTCAATTACAAACAAGACATATGAAGGGACACACGACTGAGTCTTCATTTAAGATTTAATCAACAGTTAAAATTAGCGCTAACGCTGCCAATAAAGCCCGTGACATACGGCCCTGCGTTCTTTTTCCAGCCTCTCTTCCCGACGTGTGATTACAGGTAGAAAACCCCGCCAGCGCGTTCCGGGCAGCGACTGAAGGGAGGGAATTCTTGCATTTGAACCCCTCGGAAGCCGTCGGAAAAGCATTCGGCGAAGGGGGGGGGGAGGGTGCATAGCAGGGGTGCAGGGAGCGGGGTGCAGCCCCAAGGGCCAAGCGCCGTTCCCCACGGCAGAGCAAACACCTCTCACCCGAGCGATGGGAACAGCCGAGGCCTGGAGCCCCCCGCTCTGCCCGCCGTGCCCCGCAGCCCCCGGGGCTGGCTCCGTGCTGCCGCCCCGCGGAGCGGCCCCGACGGCGGCTCCCAGCTGTGGCTGCTGGGCTGGGCCGGGCCGGGCCGGGCCGAGCGGCGGCTGCCGAAGCGCTGAGCGCTGCAGCGCGGTGTGCAGACTTGCTCAGAGAGATTCCCGGGTTCAGACATGTGAATAGCCCCAGGGTCACACTCTAATTAATGATGATGTTCTCTTCTTCTCCCCAGCTGGAAGACTGCCTCCCAGAAACGAATCTGCCCACACTGACAGCTCGATTGAGGGTGATTGATGACTATCTGGAGACCACAGTACACATAATATAATATCTGCTGCGTAATTGCTTTAATTTACAGATGAAAATAGTACTTTTCGCACGGACTTAGACTACAGCGCGCGGCTCTTTATGGCGCTTTGGAATGTTTGCAAATAAAGGCTATCAGATGCAGCACATGCAAATTACGCTGACAGCTCGGGAGAGACGAGTGGAGAGCGGCAACCAAACGGCATTCATAACCGGGTCTGAATTCCGTATTGATTTTGGGGAGCGGGGAGAAAACGCCAATGCTTTCCTCACCTGAGCTGCCAATTTCTCTTTCTCCCTGGGAACACCAATAACTTAGCCATTGGGGTTCTGTGACAGAATCGCTCCTTTATTCCTCCCTCGGCCCCAGGACCTAATGGCACTTGCAGTTACTATTTACAAGCAGCCCAGGTCCACGCGGCGCGCGTCGCTCTGGCCGAACTCAGCGCTCTGCCCGCAGCGCTCAGCACCGCTCGGTGCCCCCCGGGTGGATGGCGCCTGGGCTCTTCGCTCTAACCCCTCAGTCGGACCCCGCGGTACTGGGGACGAGAACAGTTGCACTTATCTCAAGAGTGGCTCAGGGTGAAGCACTATAATTAGCCGAGAGCCGGGGAACCGCCTGCAGAAGTGCTCGCAGTCCTCCAGGCTGGAAGTTTGGGAGACGTCCTGTTGTTGGTAGCTTTATGTTCTTTTTTTCCTCCCCTTTTTTGATACTACCGCAGATGTTAACTGCTCGGCGGCCCGCACGGCACTACAGGTTTGATATGTAGATGAGTCTATTAAACTTTAAAACGCGAGGTGAAATTCAATATTTATAGCCCTCGTCTATTTATATATCGCGGTTATCCCTCAATGCCCCGCGCCACGCGAACACTCAGCGCCCATTTTGCACCCAACTTTCCCGTATTAATCACCGTGATTATTCGTCATTTGTCACCGCAGCCGTGCTGCACGGCCACTTCCAGGCTGTATTCCCTAGAAAGCACTCATTAAAAAGCAAAACCCCAAACCAGAGCTTCACTGACAGAACCCCTTCGTATTTAAACACTGAAAGAGGACACTACACCTTCCTACGGCTCATCTCTTGCTTCACTCTCAGCGTACAAATAATGGCCTTTTGTTGACGGGAAAGGCAGTTGCGTTTCATCCGCAATTTTTGGTGCCAGAGTCCCTCAATGATTTAAAATAACCCCTGCGGTCGGTGCGCATAAACAACGCAACGCTGTTCCGCCCCAAGGAAAGGCACCGACTGCGGTGAGCTCTTTCCGTAAGCATTTGGGAAACGCACGTCTGTGCCGTGCAGTGCAAATGGTTCCCTGTCAGAGCTCCTTTCCCGTGCACGAGAGTTCAGGGCACGGCGCAAAGTTTGGGAGAGCGAACCCATCGCAATCAGCGCTCAGGCTGGAGGCTTTCCCTCGTGCAAGAAGCAGAACGGAGATTTGGGAAGCAGAACCAAACTGAACGCGTCTTCCGGGCTCCGTGCCTCCTCCCCGGGAACCCGGAGACAACGTTCATGTTAGCTGCATCGTACAAACACGGAACAGGGTGGAAGCGCTGCGGCAGTGGAGCAGGCCGGGGCAGCGCGGTGATGGACGTCCGCAGGGACGCGCGCTGAGGCAGCTCTGCGGCCACTGCTCTGCTATCTGCGCTCCCATCGCCTCCCCGTTCCGACGGCTTCTGCCACTCCCGCAAACATCTCCCCGATGGAATTCGCTTATGGTCTAAAGAAAGAGACTTCGGCAATGCTCTTTCAGCCGAGTTTGCTTTGTTTTCCCTTTCGGGATTTTACGCCGCGGAGCTCCACACATCTCTGACACGGAGCCCCTGGCAAGGCGGCACCGCGGGGAGCGCGGGGTGTGCGCAGAGCCTCCCGGGGCGCCAGAATGACCCCGGCGCTGCGGGCCGGAATCGGAGCTGCCGGTGCCCACCTGCACGGCCCCGTACGAGGGGTCGGGAGCCGCAGTGACAAACAGCAGTTGCCTAAGCGTGTGCCCCTAATTCACTTACAACTACGCGTAAAATAGCGCTCGGAATGCTTTCATTCGGTAGCTTCAATCTCTTGGTGAACTATCTCAATTAAGGCCTCACGGGCTCACTCTGCTCTTCGCATCCAGCAACTTTCTGCTCGGAAGGGCTGCGGCCAGCCCGCACTCACGGCTCACCCCAAACTTTTCGGGAAGAAAAGCAAAAGCCGCTCCCCGGACGCTGCTGTCTTCCTCCGCACAGAGCTCTGCGGGCCGAGCAGAGGCTGTCCGAGGAGGCTCCGCTCGGACCCCGCTCACAGTCACTCTGTGCTGTAGGCAGTGCGCAGCCCCGCGCAGTCCTGCGCGGAGGGAAAACTTTCCTGCTCACATAGGTCATATCCTATTCCTTTTAAAGTTTGTCTTAAAAGCCGGAAAGTTTGACTCGGTGCCTTACCTTAGCGCTCACGGAGTGTCATATGCGCACCCCCTTCCCAAGAAATAACACATATGTTAGATTACATTTGCCCCTTTTCCCAGGCGAAGATCGCACAGAGCCAAGTGATCCATCACACGGAGTTCCCCTTCCCTCCAGCACTTCGTTCCCAGCCTCCTCGCTGCTGCCGCAGCTCCGGAGGGGGAAAATAACCCCGCCGCCCCCTCCTCCCTGCCGCCGCACACACACGTACACACAACACACGCACGGCAGCATCACCACCAAAACAAGGAGAAAACGTTTTTACCTGCGATCACGCCCGGCTCCGGCTAGCACCTCTTAGTGCCATGGCAGCGCTCCTCTCCTCCCGTTCTCTGCGCGGATCGCTGCGCGGAGCCGCCGCGAGCATTTCTCAGCGTGCGGCACCTGACGGCAGCGCACAGTGCCTCCGCTCCCCCGGCGCCGCCGCCACGTCCCTCACCCCTTTCCTAGTGACGTCCCAGCGCGGCTCCTCTGCTCCGCTGCCGATTAACACTTTCCAGGCGCTCGGCTCCCAACTTTTCCTTTTAAAACAGCGGCAGCCGGAGCCTCTCGCCTCCTCGCGTTATAAACGCCGGTTGGGGCGTGGGGGACACCATAATTAATAGCGGGTTGGTAAAATTAGCACTGCCACTCCAATCGTTGTCCTCGTCGCCGACAATAATTGCATCGATTCGGGAAGGACACGAATGTCCTCCATTTAACCTAATGATCCGCGGGGTGTACCCGCCGGAAGGCAGCAGGAGCGCTGATTAAGTGTGCGCCCTCCGCGCTGCCATTTATCTCCGCGAGTCAGGGCTGCGAGGCGCGCAACTTACGGGCAACTCTGCCTCGCCCGCCGCCTTTGTTTCCCTCCCGTCGGCGGAGGTGGGCTCGGACGCAGGCGCCAGCCGGGCTGTGCCCGCACCTGCCCACCCCCTGCCCGCGCTTCCACTCGGAGCACTCGCGCCGGGCTCCGCCGGGGCTGCGTTCCCTCCTCCCGCAGCGCCCCGCAGCGCCCCGCAGCCCCGGGGCCGTCCCCCCCCGCCCCGGGGCTGCCTCCGGGGGGGGGGGGGGGGGGGCGATAGCTCCAGGGCCGGAGCTCTCTCTCCCGCTTCCCGCTCAGCCCCCCCGCACAACCCCCCGTCCGTGCTTCCGACCCCGCAGAAGTTCTGCGTGCCACTAGGCTCCTGTCCCGGCTGCAGAA